TTGCAGCATAGACGCGTTAACAACTACGTCACTCTGCTCTTAAGTCACAGGGCAGATGTGAATTTCAAGGGGGACCAAGGATTTTCCCATATAATATTCTCTAATTGTATAATTAATTAAATTGATTGTTATTGCAAATTCAACCGTGCTTAATCAACAATCTCAGCACAGAATGTGATATGGGAAAATGTCTAACGTTCCTTAAAATTCACATCTGTCCTTTGACATAAGAACAGTCGTGGAATTGTGGTGTAGAGGTAAACGTGCCGAGATTAAACACTAAACTGTCACTGTTCAAATTCCGCTGATGGTGCTGAGAAGATATAAGCTAGGTTGAAACTGCAGAGTAACGTAGTCAAGAATAGCATTTGGAGAGCCAGGTTGTGTGAAATTTCTTAGTCAGGCATGTCATCAGTAACCTCTTATTTAAGCACACACAAAAAATGCGCCCACACACTGAGGACATATGTCTGACACATATATACCCTTAGCCTAGCATAATATGCTTGTCTCTGACATCTAATTTCCTATCCCACATCCCACAGGTGGAGTCTCACCGATAAATTTTGAGGTTGGTTCCAGGTTAATTTCAGGGTTGACTTCTCATTGGAATCGCCCATACTTGATATCCATTTGTCCCTTATGTTCTCTTCTTGGCAATGACTCTCCCTCTTTTTGAATAGATGTACTTGGTCCAAGCGTCTTCTTTGGGCTATCATCGCTGAATCTCCAAGTCTGTCTAGGCAGTACGCGAAATCATCGCTGATTGTTCCTTCTTCCAATCTTCTCTTCGTTAGATTTCTTTGGAAGAGGATACCCACTAGCTCCACGATTTTCCGTTTTCTGGTGTACTTCCCATATAAGACGAGTCATTGGTTGCACTTCCATCAATTGTGCGGCCGATAAGTGCATTATGTCCAGTTATCTTCGATCTTTCTCAATTCATTTTTTTGCATAGTCGCTGGTGTTTTTTGATGCTTGTGATGATTGTCCTTCCCGCCTCTCCGAAATATTTTTGTTTGCAGTCCTTGCAGCTTATGCTGTGAACTCTGGAGCACTAAATTTCGTTGACTTCTTCATGTTGTGCAAACAGGCGGATGAAGTGGGTTATACTTTCTTTCATGAGTATACGAATATTCCATTTCCATTGTATCGGCCGCAGCTTCCGGGTCAATTCACAGGATGGTAGACATATACATCGTTTCTCCTCTGTTTCTCTTGCTTTCCTTTCATAATCTCCGTCCTTTACTCTGTTCATCATCATCCGTATGTTGTTTTGTATTGCTATTTCTGGGTTACCGTTGGCAAGAAACATCTGAGTTAGTTTTTCCAGTTCCTTTTTCCAGTACTCAGATTCGATGGATCGTAGTCTTCTTATGAACATGATACTGAGTATCCCCATCTTCATTCCGTAGGTATTGTTGGGCTGTAAGTTAAGAGCTTTTCCTGCGTGTGAATTTTTTTTGAATATTCGTTTCCTACGAGTTTTCTCTAAGCGAATGACATTTACATCCAAGAAGAGTAAATGTCCATTCTCTTCTACATCGATCGTAAATTTGAAATTTTTATATTTTGTTTAAAAAGATTGGGAAATCGTTTAATTTATCTTTTCCATGCGACCAGAGTGTGAATTAGTCATCTAAATATCGCGTAAT